GAACAGCTCCCGGTGAGACGGTGGGACGGCGGCCGAGCCGCGCGGGGCTGAGGGGCCGGCAGGGCTGCTGCCGGCGGGGTCCGCTCCGGTCGTTGGCAGAACACGCCCGGCGCGCCGAGCTCGCGCCGGGCTCGGCCGCGGCCGTCGCCTTTGTGCCGCCCCGCGAGCCGGGAGCGCCGGCCCCGCCCCGGTCTCTGCTGCTCTCCATTCATTCCTCCCACGGAGCGAGGGCCTTGGGAGGCCGGCTTCGGCCGCCCCTCGCAGCACGCTGGGTTTTCGTGCGTCAGAACCTGCGGAGAGGGTTCGCTTTCCCCCTCCGCAGCGAGGCTGGCCCAACCCCAGGGTGGGGGTCCTGGCGCCCCAGGTGTCCGCGGAGCCTCTAGGGCGCCTTGGTCAGGCCCCATTGTGCCCCCGCCGGGCCACGCGCCTCTGCCTCTGGCCCGGGTGGCTGGCCACACGCTTGGGCACGGCGATCGGATCTTGAGCCCAGGCCGAATGGGCGGCCTCCTGCCCTCGCCGGGTGCCCACTCCCCAGGCGGACCCGCCCGGCAGGTGCATTTGCGGTCGGGCAGGGCCGGTCACCGCGACCCTTCACCCCCTTCAGCACCAGCCGTCGGGCCCCTCTTCAGAGTGCCTCCCCTCTCCTAACAAAGGAAAGACCCCTTCTCCTCCCCCTCCCTGCGCCTTTTCCAAGCGGGAAGGGGAACGAGCCAGCCGGAGGGGGTTTTCTGCGCTCCAAGCTTCGGACCCCTGTCTTTGCATCCCACCTTCTTCGCTTCCCGTTTGACGTCCGCCAAACGAGTTCATCCCTGGCCCTGGTTCCCTTGCAGGAGGAGGTTTCCTGTTCTTGGGCGGGGCCGGAGACATCCATTGTCTCTTCCGAGGTATCTCCACCTGGGAAGCGGGCCTTTCTCGCCATCCATCCTGCTGCATTTCGGGGAGGGGTATTGGGCACAGTGTTTGGACTGGGACCCTTGTCCGCGTCCTTGCTGAACTTGGTGGAAGGATGTGGATTCTGTGGAAGGTGTCCACATTGTCTTAGCTAATTGCACACTGTTCTTTAAGGTGGGTTACAGGCATCTCTGGGATCCTCAAGGCTTGGAGGAAGATTAGATTGTTTTTTCTGAGCATCTATTTTCCATTGATTACGACCTGCAGTCTTATGTGGCCAGCCTTGGGGTCCTGGCCAAGTGGCACAAAGGGAGCCATTTTGTGGGGCTAAGAAGACACGTGAAATAGCAATATCTCACAGGGGTTAGAGAACTTGGGAACAAAAAGCACCCTCAGCAAATGACGAAACATTGGAAATGACATTTCTTTTCGTTTCATTCCTTTCAGTTTTACCATGTAGAAAAGACTGGGTAAGATTGGAGAAACTAAATTGGTGGTTACGGGAGGATGGGGGCACTTGAGGAGCAAAGACCTAAGAAAACTGGTCACTCCCTTTCTGTTGTCATCCTTCCAATGAGATAATTTTTTTCAGAGGACACTGGAACTGATTGAGCCTTGGTTTTTCATTTTCTGTTGTGAGGTCAACTTTCTGCGGGTCAGACTTCAGTTGTTGGAATGAGAATGTGTAATCTGGGGTTTTGTTCTTTGGGGTTGAGTTCAATTTAGTGCCCTGTAAGGAATTCCAGTAACCAGGTCAAATCCTTACACTAGTTTTTTTTTTTTCATGTGTGTAGTTGTAATGTAAGACGTAAATGATTTTTGGTCCTGCAAAATAAACATTTTAATTCACCTCTTGTCATCAATTTCCCTCCAATATTGTGATCTAGTAGCATTGTCATTTTATTGACTTATCATCTTTTTCTATAATCTCACCTAATTCTCATAAACTTATTTTCTCTAGTAACATTCTCCTGGCTCCATAAACTCATTATAAATTGAGTCTGGTAGGGAATGAGCTGCAAAGATCATATGGAAACTCTGGGATTTAAAGAGAGAAGAAAGGAAAGGAGTAATTAAAAAAAATTCCATCTACAGTACATGGACACATTTTTGTTGAGTCTTAAATATGTAATCCTGATTTAGTTACTAAGTGTGTGATTCAGAAGGAATACTAGGATCTTAAAAAAAAAATTGAAATACTTTCTGTCTTATGATCCAAATCCTTTGTTTGGGGATGTCTCGCTATTACAAATGGTCTCTACAACACTGACGTCATCGGAGTAGGTTATTACCTGCTATTGCAAGAAGAACACAGACCTTTAAAAAGTTGGACTGGTCAGACCTTTGACTTGTTTTTAAGCTGTGGTTTGGGTACTAGTGTCTTTTTCTTTCTTTTTTTTTTTTTTGGGAGTTAGAGTCTCACTGTCCCTAGACTGGAGTGCAGTGGCCGCTCCCGGCCACCACAGTCTCGACCTGCTGGGCTCCGGTGATCCTTCCGGTGATCCTTCCGCCTCAGCCTTCCAAGTAGCTGGAACTACAGGCGTGCGCTTCCAC